TGCGCGCAGGCATACGACTGCATTGGTGGACAATCGCACGCGAGGTGGTCGTTGTGCTTCGGAGGTTTGCTTGAGGGACTCCACCCGGAGCCTTTGGCTCAATAGCCTGACCCACAAGGCAGTGGGGAGCAGATCCAGCTAGGGAATGTGATTGCAGAGACAGATTGGGATCTGCTTGACGGCCGTCACACGCAGCCTTTGAGGTACTGGAACAATTATCATATGTTTTGCGACCGTAGTAGGATACGCACCTGCGACCATGGCCAGACGCAGGTGGGTTTTTGGCGGGTTTGCACCAATTTGACCAGGGGCTGCCTGGCTTGAGGCGGGCAGTAGCAAACCATTGAACACTCGGAGGTGTCCTCCCACCGTCAGAGACAATGCGTGGCCCTCGTGCTCTACGCCAATCGAGCTGTGAGCTTACAACCCGTAGACCTGTTGTCTCCCATGGCTAGGTTTTACGGGAAGTGGGCCATCAACCACTTCCTAACCTCCGGAGAGGATGGACTAGGATACTGGCAGGGTGCCCACACCTGACAGGAGAACGACTCGGGTCCTCAGCCAAAGCCTTCGATTAAATGAACACCCGAAAGGCAGCGAGTCTAGCACATGGTCAGTTAGCCGACTCATCCTGGTAAAGTATCACTAATACCTAAGGTCTGGAGTTTGAAGAGAAAAATCTCATGGTCTACCCGGTCGAACATCAGTTAGTAGTTGAGAAAGACTACATCAACTCCTGTGCCAGCGTCTATTGCATCAGTCCAGCTGGATCGTGTAAGCTGCAGATTTGTAGTGTATGATCCATATCATCGGAGGCCATGCTGTTCCACTGCGAGGTAGTTAAATTCTTCCAAGTAGGCCGTTAGCGCATCAGAAATAATAGCTTCCATGACCTTTGAAAGAACCGGTAGTAAGATTATGGGTCAGTAGTTGGCTGGATTGGAACGACTACCTCCCTTGTGAATAGGAATAATCATCGCGTGTTTCCACATCTCGACTCACGTACGTTTCCTCAAAACAGTGTTGGAAGAATCAAGCCAAAGGCTCAGCTAAACACTCTGCTACTGCCACTAGCGATTTCGTATGTATATTGTCAACTTCATGAGAGCTGTGCTTGCGCATACGCAATAACTGCTTTAGTACCGATTCTGCCGTGAAGGATATGTGAGTGTTTTGGGGATAAAACAATCATCGTCATAGGGTTAGGTGGTCATCGATCGCATTGAAATGTTGCAGCATATTGTAAGCGCAGGGTATTCTTCGCCGCCTCCTTCGGTGTCCTTGTGGGTCCGTTCACTGTTTGTAGAGGAGGACTTCGCCGTTTCACTTTACGTAGACTGTTGACATGTTGATACAGAAGCTTGTGGTTTGAGGCCATACGCACGGCCAACTTCAGCTGGTAGGCCATTCTATCCTCGCGAGCAAGCTGAGTACAGTGGTTACGTTGGGTCGCATAGGCTATCCAATTCGCGGTGCTCAGAGAGAGTTTGTAGATATGCCAAGCTGAGTTTCTCACCGCTATACACTTCCGTGTCCTGCTTCGCAGAAAGGAGACCATGTTTCTCGGGAGGAAGGTCGTAGTCACTGATGCTTCGGGAACCAAAGAGTTAAACTGGCTGACGAAATGTTCTCATGCACTAGCTGGTGTCTCATCTGCCAGAAAGGTCCAGTTCGTTGTCTCACCTAGTTGATCTAATATATCGTAGCGTATAATCGTTTTTGTTGCATCAGCGATTTCCAAGGGATATTATGCATCGTAAATGTATTCGAAGAGTAGGACTACATGATCGCTGCGTCCCAAGGTGACGTCGACGATCACCCTCTCGACCATTATTTCGTCTTTGATGGATATCTCCTATCCAGTATCGAAGGCTCATTTTTATCTCGGAATCGGGTGGGCGTGTTGATGTGGTCATACAACGGGTAACTTGAGACAAACGCTTGTAGATCGGCCTTAAACTGTTCTCCGGGAGCTGCCTGGGATTCCAGAGCGTGGATATTGAACTCGTCAGTAGTGAGAATGCGACTGTAAGTTGTGTTATTCACCCTCCTTATTGCAGACGCCAGTTGGATCCACCACGGGTGTGGAGGAAGGAGGACGGAAAGTGACCGCCATAAAGCAGGTGTCGTCACCTTTTAAACGTAAACGGCACCAAAGAGAATCTTGTACCGTGCTGACCGGATCCTCTATAGGCTCACATTGGAGGTCATTGCGGAAGTACAGAGCCACCCCGCCACCTTTGGTGGATCGGTCGTGCCGAACAGTGAAGATGCCTAGCAGTGAGATCTCGATGTCGCTTAGGTCATGGCGTAACCATGTCTCCGTTATAGCGATCAGATCGCAAGCTATTGATCCTTGACACAGCGCATTTCGGAAAGTTTACTTAGTAAGCCTTGAGCGTTGGTGTAATTAGAGGAAAGCTTCCCGGATGTCAAAAGCTGTTGACTAGAAGCACATAAATCATGTGGATTGGTGCCGACCGATGAGAGGCCGGCACCTAACCGTTTTTTGGGTGAATTGCCGAATCTCGATAGGAATGCAATCTGTTTTTGGTCTCACTTGCACCTGCTGTATGTAGTCCATCGGCAGTCTTCTCGATAGCTACGGGTCATAGCGCACAGGTTTCTGAATCGCTGTTGTGGTTACATCGCGTCGCGGGTGGTGTCGTTTCCGCGAGAACAGCAAGTGGCTGCGGCTCTCTAACTGCTGTCTTCAATCGTAGTTCCGAAAGAAGTGCGTTGTGTAGTAACAACCAGCTCCGGATTAAGTTCATGGCCATCTATTGTGACTGCACCATGAGTTTCAGTATCCGCCGATCACAGAAGCCCGGGTCACTGCCCACCAGTAGAAACCATTGAGTCCGTAGGTACTAACTGAAACGACATGCGTGTTATCAGTGTTCCAATTAAGTGTTGCTGTGACGTCTCGAAGTGTTCTTGCTGTCAGGACAGCAATCTTGAAAAATTCCAAAGGGACCATCATGGTTTACAAACTGGAATGTCGTCGCCAGTCTATTATAACGTCTGACTGCAACACAACCCACTCCGAACAGAAAGCAAGAACACTCCACGCTGGGACGAACTGGATGGAAAAACTGACATACCTGAGCAATCTGGATGCACAAAGATCAATAGATCAATCAGCCAAGCACATGAAAGGACTTAGTCGAATGGTAAGCGTCTAACTGAAAGACCGTCGTGCGTGCGTCCAACACAAGAACGTGACAGGGCAGTCACGAGTGTCATACGATTCAGCTGCGAACGACTGTCAAGCGCGGGCCCGTGTGACAATTTGCTCCTGTAAAAAATCACCTTGGTCGATTTGGATACATACAGTGCCAAACCTTTATGGGCCAGGTTCCGGCAATTGTAGGTGCACACGTGACAGATCCACCGCATTATTAGCATATATATATATATATATATATATATATATATATATATATATATATTGGGAACGACATGATCTTCCGCACTAGTAGCCCATCAAACTCGATCGGCTGCTGGTTAACTGCCGACTATGAGTAGTCCAACTCCAGGGTTGGCGCAGAATTAACAAGTTTCAGAACGAAAGACGCAAATTGTGATATCCGCTTAGTATGCAAAATGTTCAGCTATCATTCGGTCGAATATGAGTTGCATTGACATTTTTTACCAGTTTTTGCGCAAGGTTCGTGAAAGATATGTCCTAGTCTTTCCTGACGATTTTAACGCACCTTCTGCCATGATATCAGTTCAGACTTACCTGGGCGCTTAATACGTTGGAGTGTTTGCCGCCGTGTTCTCATACCAAATGTCATCACTCTTGTGCTAGTGGGCTGCAGTGCCCTCCCGTAGCTTGGCGAATGCGACCGCATGGAGTACTTTACCAAACACTGGTCTGTGTCACGCTTTCAACAGTAGTTAGCTTGTGACTGGCAACGTTGCCTGTGAAAGACCGATGCGCTACCAATACCGGTGAAAGTATTCCCCCCCCCAGAAGAGGGCCGTCACCTGAAATTGTCACACCCAATTACTAAGAAGTGCAGCATAGTCAGCCCCAGGTGGGCAGCCATCATACATCCCTAAAAAGGAGTGGAGACCGGTTTCTTCTTATCGGAACCCATCAGCAGCTCGCATTCGTCAAATGCTCTTGCACCCAGACCCATAAATTAATTCTTATTAAAACAGTTCTTTCCCTTCAGTAACTTGAAAAGCACAATTAGAAGACGAAGTTCGGCAGATGCATGCATTTCGTATCGTCTCATCAGTGCCGATAAAGATAACCGGTAATTTTATACAACAGTTTGTGGGTACAGACATATGTACAAACAAACTCGAGAGAAAAGAGGCGTCATTTTTATACAACCAGGGCATCCTGAGGCTAACCGATAATTGTTTTTGAACCCAAAGCACTGCCTTAATTCTTATTAACCAGTTACCTAAACCCCTGAAGGCAGGATGGAACGGTAGGAGACCACCACGACCGATTAATGGCTACGACATAGCGGGTCTCATCTTCCGCTTCCATGCATGTTGTGAAGGTGTGGAAGGTGGGGGTGGCTTCCACAACCACGACTTTCTACTGTAAGTCGCCACAAGTCCAGGTGACTTTAATACAGCCTATATATTGAATGCGGCCAACTGTTTGACACAGAAAAGGCTAGGACACTTATAGTTAATGTTGCAGGCGCAATGCGTAGCAAATAGTAGAGAGAAGCCAGTAAAACTATGTGAATTAAAGAGAACCTTTGTTCAGGTAGTTGAATTTCCTGGGTCCTGAGCGAACCGGATCTGAAGAACGTAGACAATTGTTACTGAAAATAACGCGAGGGTGAAGTGGTGACACAGTAGGCGGATGCAATGTCAAACGGGTTAACCGAAGGGATCAATATGCGGTGGAACATCCGCCAAAAATTAATGTGTTCAACTTCAATAACCAGAACAATGTAACATAATGGAAAAACAGTTCATGAAGGTTAGGTTTAACGAGATCATTCAACGTGTTGGGTACTACTCACTGGCTTTTTAGCTCGCTAAGGAGATGGTCCACTGTTTTTAGTCGTTCCTCAACTTCTGCTTCTGTGGCACCTTGTCGCAAACTGTCGATTGCCTCATTGAGTGCGACATCTTGTAACTCAGCTTCCTGTGCGGACTGCGATTTCGCTGCGGCCAACCGTTGCAGCATGCTGTCGTGCATCGTATCCATAGGCTTAATAGCACACTCTTGCCAAAATTCTGTCAGGCTTTCAGCAAATCGATAGATAGTCCCCACTATTGCCTGCTTGTTTGCGATTGTTGACCATGAAAAGTAGTTCTGCGAAAACATGGTGCATAACGTTACACACACGGAACAGTTCAACACGTGCAACTGATGTAAAACAAATGGTAGTACAAGTCGGATGCACAGAGTTGATGGTGAACATAGTACTTCGATAACTTTTATGTTCCGTCGGGCAGTGTTCCGTAATCAAATGTACACCTCCTGATTCCACCAAGAGAATGCACTGTGTATTTAACATGTATGCAGTTATGTCATGTCTGAGGTGTTTTACACTAAGAAATTACCGTCGCTTCTAACCCATAATGGAAGTGGACTCCATATCAGCTTGCGGTGTCCCTCCCAAGCATAAAGGGTTTAATATTGTTGCTTGAGGCTACCTCACTACTCATGGAATAATAATAATAATAATGTGTCAGCTGTATGCCGTAACGGCGCTTCGCTGCCACGCAACCATCACCAGTCACGCGCGGGCTGAGTATACCGCGAGGACGCCCACCCCTACGCGGCTTCGAACCGGTGACCTTAAGTTTGCAAACCAAACGTGCAGATCACTCGGCGACCAGCCGACCCGAGCTAGTGACGAAACTTGGTGACATGAACAGATGGCTTATTAGTGACTACCGACTACTCGGAAACATGTGCCGCATAACGAAATATTCCTTCAGTAACGTAGGTCTTCAAGTAAAACGTAGGGCAGCTGCTCTTCTGGTAAAAGCAGAACATCACCTTGCTTGTCATTCTGAGGTGGTATGTTTACGATATCGTATTCCTCAACTAATTGCATATCAGTGAAAGCGAACAATAGACTGCTTATTTCCATGCATAAGCATTCGCTGTTGCACACGACTGATGAAGGGGACCAAGGGAAGCCTTGAAAACTATTCAACTGCTAGACACAATCAAATTGTAGCCAGTGCAGTTATCACCCCGACTACTACACAAATGTTCCTAAAAGGAAGCCTTTAGGAATTAGGCCCGTTCTCCCCAGGTCTGGATGTATCTCAAACGACAATTCTATCAGCTCCGCTATCGGCCTTCGTTCTGAAGCTGTCACTTTTGTGCTTGGCAGCAGCGCTGCTCCTTGTGTGACAGAACTAATTAGTCAACTAAGTTCAGGTTGTGCATTTAGTGGGGGTTACTCACAATATGTAATCGCGCATGTGTATGGAACACCGCTTCACAAAACAGTGGCTGAAAGTCCAGTTTCATGCGCCTCCTGGAGCGCTTTTACTTCGTCATCCGCATACTTCAGTTAACCAGGGCAGAAGTTCGTCGCCGGAACTGCGGTGGTCCTTGTTAGCGCTTGTTTTTCATGCCTAAAACAAGTCGAAATGGCTTTGTCAGTCTTTTCTGCATTATTCGTCTCTTGGAACAACCCCAAAGGCAACACGTGGACTAGCCGGTCTCATGTCCAAACTGCGACTTTGTTTCCTCGGTGTGTTTTCTTCAGAATACCTACAGACTGGCAAAGATCTCGTTCTCACATACCGGATAATAACAGAAAGCGAGGATCTATGTAAATCAGTGCTGTCTCTAATCCCTTCCAAACAACGCTAAGGCCACCACCTGAAATTAGTAGCTCAACACTTCCGTTTGGATTGTAGAAAGTATTTTTACTGTCTTAGAATCTGTCCACACTGGAATACATTGCCAACACATGTGGTGAGCGCACCAAACATCATGATATTCGAAAGACTGTCACACTTTCATCTAAGTGATAAACGCTACACAGGAGTATGATAAAGTGCAATTTTTGGACCATTGCTAGTTCAGGTTTCACTCCGGAACACTGATTTTATTTACATTTGCCATGCTGTGAGTCTTGTGAAGCTATTGCCTTTTCCCAGCACACACCATTGAACGACTGAGCTGCAGCATACAACCCTCCAACTAGGACAGGGACAACGGAGAGTGGAAAATTGTTTCCGTTTTATGATCGACAGCTCACACGATAAGACGAAATAAAAGTGAGGAAATCGGACAACCCTGACAGATACCACGTGTTGTCACGACGATGTAACTCAATTAACCGTAAGCCCCGATGGGACACGGATTGCTGCGGCATATTACTGGTAAGGTGTTTGCCCATTTCGTCGCCCGTCGTGACCCGGTGGCTAAGGGGCTAGGGGTCCCAACTGACATCTCACTGGACCAGGGTTCAATGCCTGCAATCTCTACCTGGTGAGATATAATAGGGTGGAGAAGTGGAGTGAAGTGTAGTGTTTTCGGGCAAACAACAGCCAGTATCTATCTACTTCCTAGAAACATCTTTCTAAATACATACATCGAACCAGACAAAACGATCGGCGAAATCAAACGTGCTCTTGATATAGAGAGACAGTTCCATTCTGTTGTTTTTCCGTGATGCTTTTCCAGAACTTGGTGTAGGGTAAAATGTGATGAACGCAGTCTCGTCTTGGTCAAAAATCTAAGTGTTCAATACGCGTATTTCTCGCATCCTGAATTCCCAATTTGCAGCAAGTCTGTGGACGTCTTTAAGGGCAGATAACTTTGCTATAACTGGTATTAAATTGTGCGCCTGTGGTTTACATAGACGTTCTTCCTGGAACTTGTAATTATCATTGACTCTGTTCAGTTGGATGTGATAACTTCCCCCCTTTCATATTTTGTGAACAGGTGAAGCTTTTGTAAACGGAGCAGAGATTAGTGTTCGCGTTACTCCCATCCAATCTTTCCATCAAAGTGTTCTCAGTGGTGCCCTACAAGGGACAGTACTTGGCCCACTACGGTTCGCTTTATGTATACCAACCTGATGACTGGCTTACCGAAAATCCTTACGCGGTGCCAGCTGGGTTGTTTGGGTTTATCCCTTTCCAGCAATTTGTTCGGCGGTAACGTTCTCAGAAATGGTGAGTTTTCGCCTGACAAGCATTCTCCCCATTAAAAGCCACATATGTCCGTTTAATAACACAGCGATGTGCCGGATGTAACTCGCCACGAAATACTGTCACTACCCCTTGCTTAGCTCTGTCGGAGCATTGTATTCCAGCTACGCGATGCTAAAATTGTAGGGAGGGTTAAGCTCCCGTTTGGCAACCGAACACACGAAGCGCGAAGTAACGCCGTCATTGTCTCCCATTGGGTACGATTCTCGGAACTCGCTCCACTGTGTTGCGGGCAGAGTATTCAGTGAAAGGTTCCGAGTGGTGTCACCAAAGTCAACTCCATACCTCGACTTGGGCAATAGCACAGTACCGCGTCTTTACCTCTTGTTCGATTTTCTTTTGCAACAACTGTACATTCATCTGATTTCCATGCTTTCTGATGGCTCTATATCTACTCAAGGCGGGAGAGTCCATGGTTTGCAAAGCCTTGTGGTGGCTAGATCCTGACAGATGGGCAACTTGCTGCTGGTAATTTTGTGCCGCCGACTCATGTCTTTTACGTCTCCTCGCGGTGACCGCTGGGTGGCAGTTAGATTACACCCTACTTCTAGCTACGATCCAGGACACAATTTCGCGTGAGTCGGTTTACTGACTCATGGCGCTAGGCACGCTGCCTTTCGGGTGTATAATCTATCGAAGGCTTTGGCTGAGGACCCGAGTCGTTCTCCTGTCATGTGTGGACGACTTGACAGTATCTAGCCCAAACCCACAACCATGAATTACGCCACTATTAATAAATCCATGCTGTATCGACCGTCGTGCATTGGTCTTATGAAAACGGTCGATTTATCTGCTATATACAGCGGCGTGAAAAAGCAAAAACATACCTGAAGTGCACATGACACGTGTACTGCGTGGAGCTGAGTGTAGCACTGAACACAAACTGCAGCGTCATCCGGTTTCGGATTTGTGTGTCAATGTAGCCAGCCACAGGACGCCTGCGCTTACAGAGGGACCATGGGTGGCTTGCGCTGCACCACCCACAGCTCCAACCACACACCCCATATCCAGTGTAAACCCGAACGAATAAGACCGGGAGGCATGTGGATGGGAGCCACGTTTCATCAACAGAGCGGGCCCACACTCCTTCACAGGCAAACACAAGCACGCTGTATTTGGGGAATCAAGCGCACATAAGGCGGTGGCTGGACCGT